GGATCCTGATTAAACTAGTCACAATCTTGCACTTGCCAACAACCAGTTCAGACACCCAGGGTGAAGGCAATCTGCATGGTATTCCCTTAAGCCGTGTTTTTGATCCAGAGACGGGCACCTGGCTTAAGATGACCTATTAGGTGGAGGATATCTTAAGCAAATTGGGCCGCTATAACATAATACTACAGGCTGGGTGGCTTGTAAGCAACAGTGATGGAGGCTGGGAAGGTCAAGGTCAAGGCATCAGCATGGTCGAGTTCTGGGATAGCCCAGTTTCTAGACCCAAGTACTTCCCAAAGCTCCTAATACCATCACCTTTGAAGGTGAGGGTTTCAACATATGAATTTTAGGGGGACACAGCATTCAGACTATAGCAAAAGGGCAACACCTGGCTTCAGCTCCTGCCAGGGGCCATCCCGTGAGCTTGAGGAGAGGGAAGTCACTGTGAAGACAAAGTCAGCACATGCATGGGGCACAGCCCAGAGTAACGGCCCTGGAGCCCTGAATATGACATCTATGGACTTACTATAATGGGCAATAATAAATCTCTTTATAGGTTAGCTAGTTTTAGTGAAGTTTTTCTGTGGGTTTATTTTGGGTGGGGTTTTTTTTTTTTTTGGTAATTTTCTGCTGAAAGTACCATAACTAATGTAATTTTATCAGTATGTCTTTTATTTGTGTAGCAACCAGACAGTTTAAAGCATTTTGAATGCATTTGATTTTCTCAACAGCCAAGTGAATGATTATAACAATAGTAATAGCTAAGGTAGTAAGTAATAATACTGGCTATGTGCCAGGCACTACTGAAAGTACTTTATCTGTAAATATTAACCTGGTTAATCATCACAACAACTCTATTCAGTAAGTACTATTATTCCTATTATGGTTAGTATTAGATGTCAAACAGAAGGCACAGAGAAATCAGAAACATCAGGCCACCCAGCTGGTAAGTGGCAAAGCTGGAATTATCCATTCCAGGATCCATGTTCTTTATCATTATATTCTACCACACTGTGGATTAGGGAGGGCAGGTTTTCTTAGGCCCATGTTTTAAATGGGGCAACTATGGTTCAGAGAGCGAGTTGGGAGGAAACTCAAGATCTAGTGCTATTTCCACCAGGCTGCATTTCCCTCCCAGTGAGCTTTCCATCCTAATACCTTATGGAGTAGTCAGTGCAAATGAGAACTCTCCCCACCTCTCCAGATTGCCCTGGAAGTGGAACTGGAGCTACGTGTGAGAAGAGACTCCCTTTAGGGGCCACTAAATACACTGCAGCCTATAGATTATACACAGAGCATCCAAACTTCCATCTCATACACCTAAAAGAAATTTATAAAACGATATACCCCTCATATACTTGTAAGTTGTAATATAAAAATTCTTATCACATGTTGCAAAGAATATATTTTCTGGTGTACTAAAATATTGACATTTAAAATAAAACTGTAGCTCATTCTTCCACAGGTATCCAATGAAAGCTGAATTTCATTCCAACTTGAGAGGCACTCAAAATCTGTGAATAAGCATCTAGCTAATAGTCAAAATTTTATGGGTTTTTTTCTTAAATCCTATTTCCATTCCGTATTGCACACAGAATTGTATCCCAATGCAATATATTTTATTCCTAAAAGCATTTTATCTATCTTTGCAATAAAAATATGAATGTAAATTAAAAATAAGTCTGGTTTTTAAAAATTTCCTGTGACCATACGCCCTTAAAGGTTAAAATGTTTCTGTGGATTTAGTAAAATGTACAAATATTATTAGTACACCATTTACAAGTTATTAACCGAAAGAGTTCATGCTAATTGCAAGTGCATTTATGAATTAGTTAGATGGGGATGTTTTTTACCTCTATGAGTTCATATAGAGTTTACTTACTGCTAGAATGAGTCAGAAACCAGCATTTATTCTATTCGTGTGTTTTAAAATTTTTTTATAGTGGAAGGTGCTGAGAAGCCTTATTGACGTAAGGTTGGGCTTGATGGGAAACTAGCACTTGAGTCGGGACCCTCAGAGCAGTGCTATTGAAAGGTGACATCGCCCATCTCAGATGGTGTGATGCGGGCCCCCAGCACTGACACACAGGGTACCCGGCTCTCGGCCATGTAAACCCCAGGCCTTGTCACCACGGGGTCAAGGTGGCACTTGTCCATTCTGTCTTTTCTCCGCTCAGTCAACATTCCTTCAAAGTCTGCGGAGCGAGGCAATTGGCAGAGTCGTGTCTTCTGGTCTCTGCCCCGCTCCTGACTGTTGCTCCGTAGAAGGACAGGCGCTGGGCCTTGAGCACCCCTCGGGGCGGCAGTCCC